CTGGAGACACTTTCAGTTGTCACAACTGGGGTTGGGGGTGCTACTAGTGCACAGTGGTTAGAAACCAAGGATGCTGCTAAACATCCTAAAATGCACAAGACAGCCCCACCTCCACCTCTTGACAATGTCAATAGTGTTGAGGTAACAAAACCCTAGTGTAAAGAAAACCATGAAGTACACATGGCACATACAAGAGGTAAGGTTGTTTTGGGAAAGTGGGACTAGGCATGGGGAGCTAAGTGAAAAAAGCTAAACATAAAAGACCACATATTCTATTACTCCATTTATATAAAATGACTAGCTAGACCCACACAGAAAGCAAACTTCACACTATACTGTGCATCACAGTTTTGTCAGTACAACATATCAACGATCTCCTTGTTCGAACACCTGGGCTGCATTATCCATTGCTGAGTAACAAAATACCCCAAAGCCATTTTATGCTGTGTGTGGAGACCAGGATTTGGCAATGCTCTACATGAACTAGAACCTTAAGTGGGGTAACCAAAGCTCGAGAGGACTGAGGCAGCATATGGAGCCGGCATGAAACAATTCCACAGATGTCCGCTGAATGGGAACAACTCGCTTTATAAATTACTTAAAAAAAGCATCCACAGTTTTCTGAGTGCCTGTTAGGCACCAGCTAGCACTGTGTTGACGGCGTTACATGGATTGACTCATTTAGACCTCATGCACGTCTAGAAAGGCGGTGGCATCCCATCCGTTTTACAGGAGAAATGGGGGCTCAGAAAGAGGAAGCCAGGGACGCCTGGGTGGCTCAGCGGTTGAGTGACTGCCTTTGGCTCAGGGGGTGATCCCAGATGCCCAGGTTTGAGTCCCATGTCCAGCTCCTTGCATAGGGCCTGCTTCTCCTCCCTCTGCCTGTGTCTGTCTCTCTTTCTGTGTCTCTCATGAATAAATAAATTAAAAAAAAAAAAAAGAGGAAGCCAGGTGTGGGTCAAATTCTCAGTCTTCGGAGCTTCAGGAATCTGCAGATTTGTCCAGAGTGACTGCAGGGCCTGAAATGCTGATCCCGAGCCACAGAGAGACTGGAGCTCACAAACTCCCTGTGAGGTGTCAGTCACAACTTCACAGATGTGGAAACTGAGGCACAAGCAGGAAAGCCACGCATTCTGGGCTGAACCAAGGCAGCCGGTCTTGGGACCCCGGTCCACGACTCAGTCAAGGCTGGACTTAACCCCTCACCCGCCCTGCCTGCTGCGGAAGCAAAGGGACACCCGTCCACCCTGCTTCCATCACCATCACACACAGGCCGAACGGGAGGCCTTCAGGAAGTAAGCAGCTCCCCCGGCGCCCTCACCCACCCTCTGAACACACCAGAGGCTCCGATGCAACACGCGACCCATGCCACTCATCCTCCGAAGGCCAAGGGCCACTCCCGCAACCAGGAAACACGGAGAGGCCGACACAGAGCCGACACCCCCCCCCCCCCCGCGACCCCACCTGGACCTGAAGTGCATGGAGCCCAGCCGCGCATCCCACAGTTGCACCGAGTGGGCAGCTCTGGGTGCCTGGACGACTACCATCTCGGTGGTTCTCCAAGCTGGTGGGGGTCAGCACCCATTTCCCCTCTGAGCGACCTGCCGGGGCACAATGTCAGCTTCCCTCCCTGGTTCGGGCCTGAAAGAACCGATTGGAAAGGCCTGTAGGAGCCAGCGCAGAGGCCAGTGAGAAATGTGGTTATGCCCGCGGTCCGAGCCGGACTCTCACGAGTCCCTCTTCGGTGAAGAACCGGACTGGGGAGGAATAAATCATCTCTGAAAACTAGGACTGAGCATCATGGTTACCACGCCGAGACCTACTGGCTTTCACGTCCAGGCGAGGACTGAGGACTGCAGTTTCCCGGTAAAGCTGGAGCCTTCCAGAGGCTCACTGTTGCCTTGGAGATGCCTTACGTCATTGCACCATCCACTGGCTGTTGGTGAGTGGTTCTTCCCAGTAGGCTCCGGCCCAGTTCCGGTTCCGGCATGCAGAATGCCAGCTCATCCCCCAAAACCCCCAAAGCCCGAGGGTCGGATGCTCTCTGCCCCATTGTCTTGTGACTTCCTCAGTTCTCATCTCTAGTTCGCCATACCCTGATGTCTGCTTCTTCTCTAATGTTTGCGTCTCAATTTACCCATATTTGTGTCCAGTTGTTCAGTATTTCCCGCCTCTGGGTCCCTTTCCCCACCCCACCCCCATACAGGTGCCTGTTTCTCTTCCACTTAAAGCCTCAAATTCCCCCTCCTCAAGTCCAGGTCTCGATTTCTACCCCCAATTTGTGCCTTGCACCCTCAAATTGCTGCCACCACAATCCCTGTGTTGAAACTGTTGTGAATTCATACATCTGGTCTCCAAAATTTGAGATCCTGCAACTGATAATAGAAATTTTCAACCTTGGGATCCCTGGGTGGCGCAGCGGTTTGGCGCCTGCCTTTGGCCCAGGGCGTGATCCTGGAGACCCGGGATCAAATCCCACATCGGGCTCCCGGTGCATGGAGCCTGCTTCTCCCTCTGCCTGTGTCTCTGCCTCTCTCTCTGTGACTATCATAAAAAAAATAAAAATAAAAAATAAAAAAAATTTTTTTCAACCTTTACAGGGCTCCCAGGGCAGCTATACTTTAACATTTACCAAGATCAAAATGACTCCACAAAACCTCAAAACCTGGGGTCTATTTCTGTTCTTTTTTTCTTAGATTTTTTTTTTTAATTTTTATTTATTTATGATAGTCACACAGTGAGAGAGAGAGAGGCAGAGACACAGGCAGAGGAAGAAGCAGGCTCTATGCACCAGGAGCCTGACGTGGGACTCGATCCCGGGTCTCCAGGATCGTGCCCTGGGCCAAAGGCAGGCGCCAAACCGCTGCGCCACCCAGGGATCCCTTTTTCTTAGATTTTATTTATTCATGAGAGACACAGACAGAGAGGCAGAGACATAGGCAGAGGGAGAGCAGGCTCCCTGCGAGGAGCCCAGTGCAGGGCTGGATCCCAGGACCCTGGGATCACACCCTGAGCCAAAGGCAGATGCTCAACCACTGAGCCACCTAGGTGCCCCTATTTCTGTTCTTTTTTTTTTATGATAGTCACACACAGAGAGAGAGAGAGAGAGGCAGAGACATAGGCAGAGGGAGAAGCAGGCTCCATGCACCGGGAGCCCGACGTGGGATTCTATCCCGGGTCTCCAGGATCGCGCCCTGGGCCAAAGGCAGGCGCTAAACCGCTGTGCCACCCAGGGATCCCCCTATTTCTGTTCTTGAGCACACATTGTATGTCTGCTTCATTAAAAGAAAAAAAGAAAAAAAAAGGAGAGCATTCCAAACATAAAGATAAAAACAAAAAAATCTCTGTAGTTCCCATAAGATTAAAGCCATACAGACTTGCACATACTGGAAGCCGAAAATAAAGTCTGTAACTTTCTGGAATGTCCTTCACAGTGATGTTATTTTATTTTTTAAAGATTTTAATTACTCATGAGACACGGGGAAAGACAGAGACAGAAGAAGAGAGAGAAGAAGGCTCCATGCAGGGAGCCCAATGTGGGACTTGATCCCAGGACTCCAGGATCACGCCCTGGTCATGAAGGCAGGTGCTCAACCCCTGAGCCACCCAAGCATCCCTGATGATTTGTAACTATGTATAAAAATATATAACTCTAAAAAAAAAAAAAATATATATATATATATATATATATATATATATATATATATATATATATATATATAACTCTACACAGTGTTCCTTCCCTGGACCACTCTCCTTTGTGAAGATTGTGTATCCCGGGCACCTGTCCTAACTTGGGCTCAAATAAAACTCTTCTCTCTTTAAAATTTTTCAAGAGTTTTGTTCATTTGTGTTGATATACCCCCTAATTCTGGAAATTTGGATCTCCAAACAATAAGGTTTAACCTTCTTCAAAGTCCCTGAGACCTCTATTAAGACTGTTCCAGGATGCCTGGGTGGCTCAGCCGTTTGGTGCCCGCCTCTGGGCGTGATCCTTGGGACCTGTGGGGCTCCCTGCATGGAGCCTCCCTCTGTCTCTGCCTGTGTCTATACCTCTCTCTGGGTCTCTCATGAATAAATAAATAAAATATTAAAAAATAAGACTCTGTTCCAAGGTTCTCAAATCCAACCCAGTACCTCATCTCCTCTATTCTTTACTCCTAAGTGCCCCAAGTGAGGGGACAGGTCAGGATCTGATCCAGTATTTCTATCCCAGCCCTATACATTCTGCCCTGTTGCCTCATCCCCACCTACAATTCCACAGAGCCACCCTGAATATGTGGTTCTAATTTACAGCTGAGCAAACTGAAACTAGGCAAAGAGCTTGGGCTAGCCCACCCAACAGGTGGACTGGCTCAGGCACCTGTCCCTGCCTTAAAGTCTAGAATTCCCACTCTTGTAACAAGTTCCCCAGCCAAGCCACCCACCCTTGTAAGCCCAGCTTTACAGATGCTGGTCGGTGGCCAGGACAGTGGTAGGCCCTAGCCAGTGGGAAAAATCAACTTCCTGTCTGCCAAGGAGCCATGGGAGAAGGGAACAGATGGACAGCACTGTAGGAATTGGAGAAGCAATTAAGATGTCTGTTGTTCCTCTCTGGGCCTCCATGACTATCTATAAAATGGGGGCATCCATCTCATATAGTTGCTTTCAAGAGTAAGATTGGATTCCTAGACTCCTAATGCCCCCCTGGGAGCCTGGAGTCAGGGAGGGGCTTCCCCAGGCTGACCTCAACTAGGAGGTAGCCAGAAAAGGGGCAGACCAAGGTAAGGAGGTCTTCTGAATAGGACTAAAATTCGTGGGTCTGGAATTGGGTGTGGAGGGAGTGGAGGGAGGCCCAGCCACTCTGTCTGCCTGAAGCCCAGAGTGAGAGCAGTGAGTGTATGAGGGACTAGGGTCAACTGGCCTATCCATCCATCATTTATTCAAGTTACTCATGGGCACATACTGTGTGCCAGACTGTGCTTGCAGCTGGGGATACAGCAGGGAATAAGCCAGTTTACCTTCATAGAGCAGTGTGACACAGAGGGCAGAAGAGATGGTCAGGGCTTGTCAGCTCAGAGGAGAAATGATGCACCAGGAAGTGACGGTGGCCTCTGCAGAGACTTTCCACCCTTCAGGCTGAAGAACACAGCGCCAACATCCATAGACCTCTGGGTTCAGGATTCAGATATCCTCCACTGTGTCCTGGAGATGGGGACCGTAGACCACCCCATGCCTGGCAAGAGGTATGTGAATCTTAGCTATGCAAAGTGATCTCCTCCATCTCACACTATGGGATTTTACTCCTGCTATCCAGTGCACAGCAGATCACTTTACCAAGATCTATAAAGAGGTCTATTATCTGGGGCTCCTGGGCAGCTCAGTCAGGTAGTGGCAGACTCTTGATTTTGGCTCAGGTCATGATCTCACAGTCCTGAGAGCAAGCCCTACATCTGGCTCCCCACTCAGCAGGGGGTCTGCTTGAGTCTCTCTCTCTCTCTCCCTCTGCCCCTCCCCTCACTTGCTCATACTCTCTAATAAACCAAAAAAAAAAAAAAAAAAAAAGTCTATTACCAAGTGACAGGAGCCCAGTAGTCTCTTAAGTAGCCCAGGGCACAGGATCCAAATTGGCCCTGAGTCGTTTTTTACCTTTTTTTTTTTTTTTAAGTAGGCAACATGCCCAACATGGGGCTCAAACTCAAGACCCTAAGATCTAGAGTTACATGTTCTACCAACTGAGCCAGCTAGGCACCCCTGATTGTGTTGTCATTTCTATGCTGAAGGGGGAAACTGAGGTTCGGGGGTGGGGGGTGGGGTGGGATGCTCTCAGCTTTTGAAGAGAAAGAGGCAGGGTTAGGAGCCTGCCTTTGGATCCTGCTGAGTGTGAGGGTAACTAGTGCCTTTGCCCCGCTCAGCTTCTCTGCTTTCCTCCAGCAAGCACCTTTCCAGAGACCTCCTGCAGGACCAGGGAGGAGCCCACTTGTCCCCTCCCTATCCTCCCACAAACCCCAATGGGAGGTCCAAGGCTGCCCTGTCGTTTTCACATACCAAGGCAGAGTGCAGGGATAAAGGCCACAAGTTGCAGGGGCTGGGGCCTCCCTACCGAGATGCAGTTCCTGTGCCCCCATGGCAACCTAGGTTCTAATTCTCTGCTCAAGCCAGCTTCAGGCTGTGTCCTGAACAGTGGCATGAACTACGACTATCAGTCCAAGGGGACCCAGAGTCTCTGGTCTGAAACACTCCTGAAATTGGGGTAGGGTCAGGGGCTAGCCTTTAATATCAGTCAATTAGTAAACAAACAATGCAGCTGCTGAGCACCTACTATGAGCGTCTTCAGAGAGTGGCAAGGGGGGGTGGTCACTGGGGATGTAGAGGGCGGCTTAAGTCAACTGGCTGGGCCCCCCTGGGATCTGGGAGCAACCCCTTGGAGGCATAGGTAGGTATCAGAAGGTGAGGATCCCTATGCAGCCCTGGAAAAAAAACCCACCAGATGCCGGCGCATTACCCTCCTGCCAGCCCGCATGGCTGAGCAGCCACAGGGTCGCTGCCTCTGGAAAGCCCACCAGGGCGTAGTCCACTGCCCAGCTAGACTCCAGGGTCTAGGTTTAGGAGGCGACAAACAGGGTGAGTGAAGCTTCAGGCACAAGCTAGCCACCAGGTCAATGGGTGGAGCTACTACGTGGCCGCAGCACCCGCCACCAATGTCGACCCCCTGCACTCACCCAGTGACCTCAGCATCAACAAGAGGACCCAGATGCATCAAATAGAGTGGAGGCCGTCCCCCTAATCCGCCTGTGTGCACAGCCCTGGCCCCACGTCCAGAGCTCCTTCCCAACCTCCGACCGCACGCGAGGAGAGGCGGCAGGAGCTGTAGGGGTCGTAGAGAGATGATGGGAATAACCTGGCATGTGATGAAGGGAAGTCAAGCCGGAATGGGCTCCCTCTATGGGAGGCTCAGGCCCGCAAAACCCCAAGCGAGCGAGTGTGGGAGAGGCCGACCCGAGCATGCACGTGGGGCCAGGACCAGCGGAGGGCAGTTCCTGACCACCAGGCCCACTCCTCACCCCCGAGCCTGCAGCGCGCGCATGCCTACGAAGCGGCGGTGACCTGGACGAGGAATGAGAGGGTGCCGAACTGGCTACCTTACTGGAAATCCGCGGCCGGTGGGGCGGCCGGACGGGATGCACTGCACGAGCCTGACTTCTGCCCTCATTAGACATGGAGGCCTTGGCTTCAGGGAGATCTCTGCGCCTGTGCACGGCCCCCCCAAGACGGGCACAAGGCCTGAAATCAGAACGTCCGCCAGGCACGCTTGTGGGCACACTTCTGCAAGTACGCGTGCGCAGGGGATTTACGTCTTCCGTTTGGTCCAAAGGGCGCCTTTACATTCTTGTTCCGGATTGGTCCTTGAGTATATCATGTCTTTTTGCACACGGGTCGTCCCCACTGACCCGGAAGTTTTCACCTTAGTTAAAAGCTTCGGCCCGCGATTCGCGGTCTCTTCCTGTCTGTGCCACGGCGGCGCGTGGTGCACGCGGTTTGATTGTGACGGCCCGGCTGCGCTTTCAGGTGAGGCCGTCGCTGGGTCGGGATCCGAGGAGTGATTCCGGGTCTTCTGGGGAGCCATGAGGGACCCCCGAGGCCCGGGGCTTCCCTTCGGGGGCTTCCTCTTTCTCCGGAAAATGCGCTGAGGGACGCGAAGGCGCCGGAAAGTTAGGCTTTCCTTGGTGCCTCGCCACCCCTGTAGCTTTGCCCCACAGCGGGGCTCGGGAATACCGGTTTGGTTCCTGCAGTCGTGCATCGATATAGGAAGTTTCCGTTATTCCTAGATAGTTGATGCACTCTGGCCTGTACGCGCTTTTCTCTTGAGTAGTGTCTCCTAGTAGTCCCTAGTATCTCCTTGGAGTCGGACACGCACCGTAGCCTTTGCCTTGATTCGCGTAGTGGTCCTTGATGGCAGGTTAGCGTTTCCATTTCATTCAAGAGGAAGCAGAGTCTAAAGCCCGGCTCTTCGTTAATGTCATGGCTGGGATTTGATCTCAGGCGGATGCAGTGTCGGGGTATTTGGCATCTCCTTTCGAGATCTGGTCCCTGCCGCAGCAGTTGACCCGGGCCTGCCAGACGTTGGTCCTCAGGGTCCTTGCTGAAAAAGACGTGCTTCTTGCTTACATTAAGTGGTTTTTCTAGGACTAAGATAGATGGACCCAGATGTTTACAGCCTTTCTTGGGTCCACATAATTTCCTAGTTTACAGCGCGTGGGCCAGCCTCACAGTTTGGGTTTATCTGGGCTCTGACAATTTGTGTTCCTAGGATGACTGAGTGGGAGACAGCTGCACCAGCAGTGGCGGAGACCCCTGACATCAAGCTCTTTGGGAAATGGAGCACTGATGATGTTCAGATCAATGACATTTCTTTGCAGGTGAGGGGGGGGGGTGTGGTGGTTGTGCTCCCCAGTTAGGGGTTTTGGGACACACATGAAATCTTTCAGGGGAGGTCACTTGGAACTTGTAGCACCCACCAGTCCATTTCTTCCTTGTGATTTGCTCATCAGTTGCTACACAAGGTGGTTCCTTTCTCAGTGGTAACATCACATCCCACGGGTTTTTGGGTGCATGTTCTGTTTCTTCTCTGTTGTTGTTTGTTTTTAAGATTTATTTAGTTGAGAGAGAATGGGGGTGGGGTGGGCAGAAGGAGAGAGTTTCCAAGCAGACTTCCCTGTGGGAGAGAAGCCCTACTTGGGGCTTGGTCCCACAACCTACGAGATCTTGATTTGATCTGAACCCAAGAGTTGCACGCTTAACCAATTGAGCCTCCCAGGTGCCCCGATTTTGTTTTTTGTTGCTGCTGTTTTGTTTTGGATCATTCTTTTGCATGTGGAGATCCAGTTGCCCCAGCCCTATCTGGTTTTTGTTTTTGGAGTTTTGTGCATTTTAGTTAGCAAATGTAGGCTATAAGCTATCTAACTTAAATCTTTTATACATTGTATAAATGTATCTCAACACCACTATTTGTTGAAATTAATATTTCCCCTATTGAATATCTTGGGATCCTTGTTGAAAATAAGTTGAGCATAGATATGTGGATTTAAATCAGGAATCTGTGGGTCCTCCCAGTTTATCATAATCCCTAGTTAAGTGTTTTACACTGGGCCTCATTAGGACTTTTATGGGCCCTTCATTAAAAAGAAATAAATAGGGGCAGCCCCAGTGGCCCAGTGGTTTAGCACTGCCTTCGGCCTGGGGTGTGATCCTGGAGACCCGGGATTCCCACGTCAGGCTCCCTGCCTGGAGCCTGCTTCTCCCACTGCCTGTGTCTCTGCCTCTCTCTCTGTCATGAATAAATAAATAAAAATCTTAAAAAAAAAAATTACATTTGTGGTTGCATTGGTATAAAGACAAAGTTTGGATTGGATAGAGGTCCCCCCCCCCTTTTTTTTAAGATTTTGTTTATTTATTCATGAGAGAGAAACATAGGCAGAGGGAAGTCTGATGCGGGACTCGATCCTAGGACCCCAGGATCACGACCTGAGCTAAAGGCAGACACTCAAACACTGAGTGCCTGTCTTTTTGTCTTTTTTTTTTTGGTTGTTGTTTTTTATTTTTTTTTTTCATTTTAAAAGAAATTAGGACATTTTTTGTTATCTCTAAACACACCGTGGGGGATCCCTGGATGGCTCAGCCGTTTAGCACCTGCCTTTGGCCCAGGGCGTGATCCTGGAGTCCCAGGATCGATTCCCGCATTAGGGTCCCTGCCTTGAGCCTGCTTCTCCTCCCTCTGCCTGTGCCTCTGCCTCTCTCTATCTCTCATGAATAAATAAATACAATCTTTTTTTTTTTTTTTTTTTTTTTTTTTTATGATAGAGAGAGAGAGAGAGGCAGAGACACAGGCAGAGGGAGAAGCAGGCTCCATGCACCGGGAGCCTGATGTGGGACTCTATCCCGGGTCTCCAGGATCGCGCCCTGGGCCAAAGGCAGGCGCCAAACCGCTGCGCCACACAGGAATCCCTACAATCTTTTAAAAAAAAAAAAAACAAAACCTGTATTTCTAAAAAATAAAAATAAACATGCCGTGGGGTCAAGGCACTATGCCTAGTGGAAGATTCAGTCTTGCTTTTTAGACTTTGTAAATCACGTATAGTCTCTCTCACATATGTGTTTGTGTCCTTAGTTTTTTTGTGTGCAACCTTTTAAAAGTGTAAAAAAATTTTTTTTCATTTTTCCCTAGTGCTCTCTTAGGGTCTGGGGAAGCAGAAGTCAACATTGTGCCAGAATTCTCTTATCTTGGAAGATGTGCAAGGCTCTACCGCAGAGCTGGACAGTTTAGTTTAACCAAACCCTGCCAAGACATTTGGTGTTTGTGGTTTTTCCTGCCCGGTGTAAAGCCCTGCATGGAGACTTATCTACTTGCCTATTTGTGCAGGTGGTTCTCTCCAGGGTAGACCCCGGGCCGTCATTCTAATATCAGAATTGTGTTCTTTTTCTGTTGTTCCTTGTGTTTTAGAAATATGTTGTGTGGGGCCTCTTATGTGTTAAGTGATAGAATGATGTCTGGGTGTATTTCACAGTGGAACAGTTGACAGTAGTCCTCTTCACATACATGTAGTTTCTCTGATTCCAACACCCGCATAACATTTTGGTATTTTCTAGGGAAATAATATATATATATATATAGGAAGGGTTACTGGATAATTCTTCTAGAACAGTGGTTCTCTGGAGTGATTTCCCTCACCCCTCTTAGGTGACACTTGACTATGTCTGGATACAGTTTTGGGGCGCTAAAACTGAGGGCTGGGATGCCTGGGTGGCTCAGCGGTTAAAGCATCTGCCTTTGGCTCAGGTCATGATCCTGGAGACCCGGGATTGAGTCCCACATCAGGCTCCCTGCATGGAGCCTGCTTCTCCCTCTGCCTCCCATCTCTGCCTCTCTCTCTGTGTCTCTCATGAATAAATAAATAAAAATTAAAAATAAAATAAAACTGAGGGCTGCTACTAGCATAATGGATGCTGCTAAACATTCTCCAGTGTACAGGACAGCAAGTTACCTGATTGATTGATTGATTTTTTTTTTTTTAAGATTTTATTTATCCATGAGAGACACAGAGAGCGAGAGAGGCAGAGGCACAGGCAGAAGGAGAAGCAGGCTCCATGCAGGGAGCCCGACATGAGACTGGATCCTGGGACTCCAGGATCACGCCCTGGGCCAAAGGCACTAAACCCGCTGAGCCACTCCGGGATCCCGAGTTACCTGATTTAAAATGTCCATAGTGTAGAGTTTGAGGAACACTTAAAGCTGAGATTCTGAGCTATGATTGTGGTTTTCCATGGCCCTCTGTCCCATTATAAAGGAAATGCTCTTTTTACTGACTTGATACTCACTTGTTAGGATATTACTTTTTTGTGGCAGGCAGGGCCCTCACAGTCAGGCGACCACAGGTGGATGGGACTATCCAGAGTGGGTGCTCATTCCTTCTGGTTTCTGGCCATCCTGCTCCTGATCATGGTCCTCCATCCCCTCTCCCTGCTGCCCCAGGACTACATTGCAGTGAAGGAGAAGTATGCCAAGTACCTGCCCCACAGTGCAGGCCGCTATGCAGCCAAGCGCTTCCGTAAGGCACAGTGCCCCATTGTGGAGCGCCTGACCAACTCAATGATGATGCATGGCCGTAACAATGGCAAGAAGCTCATGACTGTGCGCATTGTCAAGCATGCCTTCGAGATCATCCATCTGCTCACTGGTGAGGTAGGGCTCTGAGACCTAATGAGGCACAGAATGCCTTTAGTATACCCTAAAGCCAGTAGCTGCCCTGTGCTGTGCATGCCAGGGTCCACTGGGTTTTAGGTATAAGGAGATGGGGAGGGATGTGAACTGGATGTTAGGTTCATGGCTGCCTTCTCCTAGAACCCCCTGCAGGTCCTGGTGAATGCCATTATTAACAGTGGTCCCCGGGAGGACTCAACCCGCATTGGGCGAGCTGGAACAGTGAGGCGTCAGGCTGTCGATGTGTCCCCCCTGCGCCGTGTGAATCAGGTAGGCCTGAGGCTCTTTAGCACACACATGAATGGGCAGGAATAGCCACTGGGCCCTGGTGTGGGTCTGCTTGCAGCAGAAACTCGAACAAGGGACAGTTTATCCTGCCTGTTGTATTTTACCTGGAGTGTCCTTTCCTCCAGGAAGCCTTCCTGCATTTCCATCATGTTCAGGAGAGATTCTGGTTCTGCCCCCTCTCCTGAGCAACATTTGCCTGAGGCACAGTTTCATTTGATTGTATATTTTTACATACAGTGTATGGGTATGTATTTTTTTTATGCAGACCTTTTGAAGATTAGTTGTAGGCATTCTAACCATTTTCCCCTTAAGACTTCATTGGATATCTCCTAAGAACAAGGATATTCTGTCCCCGTCCATCACTCAAGGTATTTAACAGTGATAAAATTCTATCATGTTCTGTCACTGAAGCTGTCCCCAGTATACCCTTTATAGTTGTCCATTTTCAATCAAGGGTCCAGGTCAAGAGCACACACTGCATTGGATTTCCCTACAGTGGCAGGTCTTAAATCTGTAATCAGGGACCCAGCTTCAGCTTCTGTGTCTACCCTCGGTTTTGTGGCCCTTATTCTGATCCCAAATCTGGCAGCATTTCACCTGGGGAACCTGTGGGCTCCTCCTATGTTGTCCTGTGTCATTGGGCCAGTGGATGATAATATGATATCCAGTCTTTGTTAGGGGCACAGGGTACTGGAGGACACCGGCCCTATCTAGTTTGGGGGCATCCCCTGTCCCCAGGCTTAGCTGACCTGTGTTCCCTAGGCCATTTGGCTGCTGTGCACAGGTGCCCGTGAGGCTGCCTTCCGGAACATCAAGACTATTGCTGAGTGCCTAGCAGATGAGCTCATCAATGCAGCCAAGGTGAGTAAAGACACTGGGGTGGCAGCCATTTCAAGGGGAGGCTTCTCCAACATTCAGAATTAACCATCTGTCTCCTTGCAGGGCTCTTCTAATTCCTATGCTATCAAGAAGAAGGATGAGCTGGAACGTGTGGCCAAGTCTAACCGTTGATCACCTGGCTGTGGCTTCAATAAACCTGTCTGCCCTTGGGGCAGCCTCACCCACTTGTGCCAGTGTCTGTCCTTGTGGGGCTCTGGGAGCTAGAGTGGGGATGGCCCCAGTGTCCTGAGGATCTGCCTACATTTCTGGCATGTCTTTTGGTCTGGGAACCCGGGTTCACTAGGGAAATACTCTGCTCAGAAAGCACCACTGACTCAGAACCATGGCAGCCTGGGATGCAGGCCTGGTCACCTGTAGTGTTCCAGCGGGTGTTGGAAATGAGAGGGGTGGGGTTGTCCTGTGTATATGTCACTCTAGTCTATGGAAGGACTTGATGTTCATCCAGGAGATCTGGGTGGCAACCCACCATTCTGAGTGGCATGTATCAGCCCCAGGAAGAGGCACCTAAGGCTGCTGGTCTGACAGGGGCCAGCTCTGTCCAGTCCACTGTGGGGTCTGCCCACCTTCCACCCCAGAACTCCAGTGATTGCTCTGGCTAGGTTCCCCCAGGGGATCCAGGCTGCCTCCACATCTTGTGTAATCATGACTGCAGCCTGACCCTCGGTATCCCACAGACCCACTGCCACACCAGATTCATCTGATTCCACCAGTGGCTTAGAAGTGGATTCATGACATGTTGGAAGACTGGGGGGTGGGGGAGAGTGTTACTGCCCACCCATGGGGCCAGACTCCCTGGCTTGTCAACCTATGCCATCCATCACCATTCTGCTGCCCCCGACATCCGGCCAAGGTCAGGCTTAGTGTTCATCCTGGAGGGACCTGTCTTAGGGGTGGGCCCAGGCAGTCAGACAAGTCTGACAGGTACCTTGGGAACCTGGGATCTGGAGGGAGTGGTACCAAGGCAGCACCCTCTTGCAGGGAGGGGCACCTAGAATGTAGCTGCTCATAGGCAGAGGACTGGGGTCAGAACTGGCAGAGACGTGCCAGCCAGAGGGAGAAGCACCAACAGGTAGGAAGGGCCCAAAAGCCAACTGGGGTCTGTCATTGTCTAGTGGGGGACCTCTGGCTTCCATCATTTCTCTGTGCTGTTGGGCTCCAATCCTGAGGCTTGGATGTCCTGTCCATCTGCTCCTCCTGGAATCTTGTATATATACACCCCCAGAGTCTAACTACTTCTCTTGGAGGTTCCTATCTTTGCTCTTTGTTCTCTCCATGTTGGATCCTCCACATTGTTTCTCTGGGGCCCTTCCTGGTAACAGGTACTCCATTTTCCTCCCTACCCCTTCTCCCTCACCCCAAGTCTGTAGCTTAGGACCTACCATGCCCCCTGGGTCCTTGCCCCCAGTCCTCTGTCCTCCCATCTCTTCCATCACCACCCACCCCCACTCCACCCCCTCCGTCCTGATGCTTCCTTGACTTCTACATGGACACACTGCTTCTCTCTGTGCTAGTCGCTTACTGTTCCCATCCTCTTTGTTCCTGGGTAATACAACCCCTTCTCTGGAGGCGGCCGCTCTGAGTTGGGCCATCCCCTCCAGAGTCCAGCCACCGACCCTCCACAGATCTCCCTTCTTCCTCCGCCTCCTTCCCTGGCTGACGGCCTGTCCTCTCAGGTTCCGTCCAGATGCCCTGCCCACGGCCGCCGTGGCTCCGCCGCCCCCAGACCCCTCAGGGCTCAAGCCCCAGCTCCCCGAGCTCACTCTCCGCAACCCGCTCCCCCAGCAGGGAGGGGGGCGAAGACGACGACGGCGAGGAGGAAGAAGGGGACAGCAGCCCAGGCTTGGGCCCCATCCTGCCCTCCGCGTCCCCAGTGGAGTGTCTCATTTGCGTGTCTCCCTTCGACGGGGTATTCAAGTTGCCTAAGCGCCTGGATTGTGGCCACGTCTTCTGCCTCGAGTGCCTGGCTCGCCTGTCCCTGGCCACGGCGGGGGGCGGCGACGCGGTGGCCTGTCCGGTGTGCCGCGCGCCCACGCGCCTGGCTCCGCGTCGAGGGCTGCCCGCGCTGCCCACGCAGCCAGGCCTGCTGCCCCGCAATGCGCACGTGCCGCCGCCGCGCCAGGGCTCCGTGCGCTTTGACCGCCGCCGCGGCCTGCTCTACCTGCGGCCGCCGCCGCCCCCGCCTGGGCCGCGCAAGTTCCGCGCAGCGCGCCCGCCGCCGCCCCCGCCGCCGCTGCGCCTCGGCCGCCCACTGTCTCGCCGCCTCTCCTGGACCAGCCCGGCCTGGGCCTTTAATGCGGCCGTGGCGCTGGCGGTGCTGGTGGCGGCGGGCCTCGTCGTCTCTGGCGTCTACATCTTCTTCCTCATCCCGCACGCCACCTCCTCTGGTCCCGCACGGCCCCAGCTCGTGGCGCTCGCCCCTGCGTCCGGGTTCTCCTGGTTCCCGCCACAGCCCGCATCGGGGACACCCTGGACCCCTGCCTGGACATCGCGCCCTGTGGGCCCCAACCAGGACACTGCCCTGCCCGGGGCTGCGGAAGACGTGCTGGAGCCTGAGGGGGTCTCCGAGGACACAGCCGAGGTCGAAGGAACTCTGGACAGGCCCCCGGATGGCCTGTGGGGGGCAGAGGGTGAACCCGGCAGGGCCCCGCGGGGCTGGAGCAGGAGGGTGTGGGGGCCACAGTAAATGCATCTGTGCTGCAGGTCCTGTCTCCAGGCCTGGGGACCTCCCTGTCGTCCTGGTGGGGCCCTGCCAGGATCACTTGCCATGATCCTAGAGGAGGACTCAGCAGGGTGCATTGAAAGCGCTCACTTCTATGAGGGAGGCCTAGAGGGAACATTCCAGGCATCATCACCACAGAGCAGGGACCCTCCCAAGGAGCACCCCTGCCTTCATTCCCACAAGGGCCCTCTGGGAGCACCCATGACCCCAATCAATATGGGCATCCAGCTGAGGCAACCCTGACCCCCATCTTTGAAAAGGTCCTGCTGGGAGGGACTCCTAAACCAGGTCTCCACCAGGGTCCAGTTGGGAGTACCCTTGATACTCATCTCGGACTCCAGCTGGGGTGCCCCTCTGACCAACGTCCAACATCCTGCAGGTACCCTGCTAGAGGCACCATCAGGCCTACAGAGTCCTACTGAGTGCACCCCCAGTCATCATCAGGCCCATAGGGGAGCATCCTCAGCTAGCAACTAGGGCTGAAGGCTCTGATTTACTCATCCTTTGAGCTCACCACAGGTCCTGTCTTTGGTGGCAAAGCCGCTACTGCTGCTGGTCTCTAGTGATATCTCACTGCCTGGCCTACTGCAGTTCCCACCCCTGCCAAGGCTGTGGAGTTCTTTTCCACTCTGCTGCATGCAGATTGGGTCTGGGTGGGATCCAGCTGTTTCCATGCTGGTCCTGGGTTGTCTCTCTGCACTCGTGGCTGGGGCTTGGGCTTGGAGGGACAGGGGTGGCCTGGCCAGGGCTGAGGAGGGACACATAGGGTCTAAGCCTCAAAGTAGCCTCTACTACTGCCTTGGCCCACAGCTTCTGGGATCCTCCCAGATATGCTGTGGGGCAGTTGTGGTCACCAAGGCTCAAAGACGCCAAGATTGCCCTCTGGGTCAGTGCCACATGATTTGGGGAGTGGGTGCTCCTGGGCTGCTAGGAGACATTCTGGCCTCTCTTCCTAGATGCTGGAACCCGCGTCACTCCCATTTCCACTCATTAATTTCTTAGGGTCAGTTATTGCACCTCCTCTTTCCATCAACCTTTTTGGCACCCCTATTGTTCCTCTAGGTGAAGCCTCAGCCCTGGGCAGCAGCCTACAGGGAGGGCGGTTCTTGGGCTCCTATCCTCCTCTCAGAAGCCTTCCTGGGTTAGTCATTACAGGGTAGATAGCTGTCATCCTCAACACAAACTGAACAGTTCTGTTTCCCCCCAGGCTCTGGAGCCCACATCCTGTCTCACTTCACCCAAAATCAGGGTTCTGTGCATAGTGGGTAGGAATCCAGCATTTTCCAGAGATAAAGTTTACTTCCATGGGCTGGAGTCTCTTGTTTGATTTGTTTACATGTGTGTCCTCAGTGCCTGGCATACAGGGGGTGCCAAATAGTTTTCTCAGGAGTGACAGCATTGCAGGTGACCAAGAGACACCCTGGGAATGCCTGTGGGCACTCAGCTTAGCTAGCTTGTAGACACCCTGATCTAAGCATGCCAGTGGAGCTCCTTTTGATGGGAGCTGCTGCTTTCAGGTAGGAAGCCAGAGGGGGGACATCAGGACATCCAAGGAAGTGTCTTCCCAGACCAGTTCTTGTCCCACACCTAGGTGCCAATGTCATCCACAGGGGCTGAGACCAGTGTGCTGGGTCACTGGGCAGCCATAGCCCAGCTCACACAGTGAGGGGACTTGGTCAGGCAGGAGCAGGGTTGGTGGTCTGTATTAGTTTTCTCTGACTGCCTTAACAAATTACCACCAAGTTCTTTGGAACAACACACATTAATTATCTTATAGTTCTGCAGGTCAAGAGTCGAAATCATTTTTACCTGGCTAAAGTCAAGTGTCATCTGGGCTAGTTCCTCTGGAGGCTCCAGGAGAGAATTTCTTTTCATCTTCTAGAGGTGCATTCCTTGGCTTCTTCCTCTATCTTCATTTTTTTTAAGATTTTATTTATTTATCCATGAGAGGCAGAGAGAGAGAGGCAGAGGGAGAAGCAGGCTCCATGCAAGGAGCCCGATGCAGTACTCGATCCCGGGACTCCAGGATCAGGCCCTGGGCCGAAGGCGGGCACCAAACCACTGAGCTACTCAGGGACCCCTGTCTATCTTCATATTTTATTTTTATTTTTAAAAGTAATCTCTAGGGATCCCTGGGTGGGGCAGCGGTTTGGTGCCTGCCTTTGGCTCAGGGCGCGATCCTGGAGACCCGGGATTGAATCCCATATCGGGTTCCCAGTGCATGGAGCCTGCTTCTCCCTCTGCCTATGTCTCTGCCTCTCTCTCTCTCTCTCTCTCTCTCTCTCTCTCTCTCTCTCTTTGTGACTATCATAAATAAATAAATTTAAAAAAAATAAAAAATAAAAGTAATCTCTACACCCTGTGGGGCTTAGACGCACAATCCCAAGATCAGGAGTCAGCCAGACATCCTGTCTTCCACTATATTCAAAGGCAGCAGCACATCTTCAAAGCTCTGACTGTCCTGCTTCTCTCATTCACTTATAAGGACACTGTGATTACATTGAGTCCACCTCAATGATCCAGGATAATTTCCCCAGAGCAACATCTTAATTTAATCACATCTGCAAAGTACATTTTGCCATTTAAGGTAGCAGATTCATAGATTCTGGGGATTAGGATCTGGCTATCTTTGGGGGCCATTATGCAGCTTACCATAGGATCTCAGATATTCCTCTTCTTGTCCCTTCCTTCCTCCATGCCAGGCTAGGAGAGAGAGTGGGGAGGAGTTGGGCCCAGCCAGGAAAGTCAGAAGGGGACCCTTAGCTGGTGGTACACAGAAGGGAGAGAGAAAATGCTCTCTGAGGATGTTCAAGAAAGGCTGCCTGGAAGGAGAGCTGTATCTTTGAAATAGCTGGCATCAAGGCAGAGGGACCTGGGGCAGTAAGGTGGTGGCTGAGGGCAGTGGGCAGAGCTGACCTGTCCTAACTAGCTTCCTCCTAGGAGCTAGGGAAAGTACAGCTTCTCTATTCTCCCAACTGGGAGTCTGAGGCCTCAGTTTCTCCTTTCTCCCCCCTTAAAATGAGGCTGATGACAGATCTCGGGGGTCCTGAACATTCCTGTCTGCTAATTACTATGTCGATGCCTGCTCACCCACTACCTATGAGCAAAGGGGCTTCCCAAAATCACCTGGGGGCCAGGATGATGGGGGACTCCTCCTCACCCTTTGGCCACCCAGAGCTCTGCCCTCTGAGCCCTCTGTCTGCCCACGTCATCTCTGCAGCACAACCACCCTTCCTCTGCTGCAGGCCTGATCCTCCTCCTGGTCGTAGTGCCTGTGAATACCCAGAGAGGCAAAATCAACCTCAGTGCCTGACATGGTGCAGGAGATGCCAGACTTTGGTTCTCTATTCTGTAAAATGGGTGACAATAAACACAACTTGCAAGGAAAATTAGTTAATCTACAAGTATTTATTGAGCACCTTCTGTATACCAAGGGTGCACTGGGGCATCTCAGGAACAAGGAGGGCCCTCACATGACAGATGACATCCAGAAAGCTGAGCAGAGGGGCCATCATCTTGGTCACACTGCCTTCCATGTGTGGAAGCCCCCACATGGAGGGGGCTTCCCACATGGAGCCCCCAACCTTCCCCAGGTCCTCCCTTAGCCCCCAACCTTCCCGGTTCTCCCTTAGCTCTCCCCTCTCCCTGCACCCAGAGGGACACCAGATGATCCAGTCTACAGGGATCAGGCCAGCCTTTCCTCATGAGAGTCAAAGAGGTGACTGCCCACACCACACTGGTCCTAGCCGTCAGGGCATCTTGTGTTGAGGCCAACAGAATAAGGGCCACGGAGGGCCCTCACTGGACCCTGAAAGTGGCAGTGTCCAGATTAACATATGGGGAAACTGAGGCTGTCAGGCTACGCAGGGCATGGATTCAAACCAGAACCAGAGAGTTTTCTGCAAACTACCTTCTCCCCTCAACTCCACATCCTGGAGGGGCAGCCTTGGTTTTTTTCTCCTGCTCCCCCCAGCCCTGCAGTCAAAGCTCTCTCTCCATAGGTGGAGGCTTCCCTCCTCACTAACACCTGCACACAAACTAGGGGGCCCTGGGGGAACTTGTAGCAATCCTGGGTGGGGGCTACTTGAGTGTCCTCAGGACATGGCAATGGGCTTCCCTCAGAGCAAGTGAGCCAAGAAAGAACAAAGCCGAAGAAGACATAGTGCCTTTTATGATCTCATCTCAGAAGTCACATTCAATCATCTCCCCCAGATGCTATTGGTACCATATTCTCCTTCCTATGGAAGGAGACTGAGTGTGTGAATACAAGATCATGAGACTCATGGTGGTCATTTTGGAGGCCAGAACTCTACTAAAGTGGAGTCGCCAGCACAGTCCTCTGTCTTCTTTAGCCAAGCAGGCCTGTGCCACTTCTTGGACCTGCTTTCCCAAGAGAGAGTCCCAGGCCTTTGGTTCAGGCTGAATCCCCAGGCTGATGACCCTGTCACCTTTTTTGTGAGTATGGGTGAGGCAAGGAAGAAGCAGCCAAGTAGGGAGTATGTTAGAACCAAGGAGAGAAAGGGCTTCATTCTTACCTGTCTCCAGGTCCCCCAATTTTTTTTTAAGAATTTGACAGATAGAGAGTGAGAGAGAGTGCACAAGTAGGGAGAGCAGCAGGCAGGAGAAACAGGCTCATCACTGAGCAGAGAGCCTGATGCAGATCTCCATCCCAGAACCCTGGGATCATGACCTGAGCCAAAGGCAGATGCCTGACTGGGCCACCCAGGCCCACCAAGGCCCCCAAATCTTGAGGAAGAGAGGAAACATGGAGCCATGGGTGTTGGTGGAAGGATGTGTGTCAAGGGTGATGGCATTAGAACAGTTGACTCTTTTCCTGGCCTCTTGCCCCCTGATGTTAGAGGACTGGGAGTGAAACATTGTGCTTCTGACCTGGACAAAGAACCTTCCTGCAGCTATCTCTAGTATTTCTGTATCACCGCTGGGTGAGTGCAGGCAGGGTGGCAGCAGATGGCACAGATGCTAGGGACCAGGTGGCCTGTTGCTGAATGTGTTAGAAATCAGAAATCTGTGCAGGAAACTAGATAAGCTGCCCTTACTCTTTGCTGTCTGATGCCAGCTGGCATGGATTCCGGAACCTAGTGAGGCACCGAGGCAGCTTGTTTCTGTAGCGGAAGCATGACTCATCCAGTACCTACCCTGTCCCACAGCCTTGGTGAGCCACTGCAGTCAGCCCTGTCCACTGTACTACCATGCATTAATATGGCACCTAACAAGAGTGGTTTTGTGTATACTATATGCTGGCAAATTGATTTTAATTTTTTTATAAATTAATTTTTTATTGGTGTTCAATTTACAACATACAGAATAACACCCAGTGCTCATCCCGTCAAGTGTCCCCCAAATTGATTTTAATTTAAAAAATGTAATAAAAATATATTATCTATAGAACTTTACAGAAAAAAAGAGACCAATAATCATCAGAAGGTATTCTGAAAATGGCATTTCTGAAAAGCTTGCAGTATGCTTTAATCTCCTTGCATGAGGGTCATTTTTGACATAAAGGTTTTATTGTAGGCTCAAAACTTTTGTTGGAAAATAATTTTTTACTATGTCAATAAAATCATTATGAAGTCACCCACCTCCAAAAAAGAGTGTTTTTGTATACCTGGAGCCTTGATCTACATAGGCCAACTATGCGAACAAAGTGATTTAGGTGGGCCCTTCAGGCCATTCTGCATTGGTTTGGTCTCTGGAGGAGCCAGAGACTGAGAAACTAAGTCAGTTACATGGGTGCTGCATGCCTTCATTACTGTTTCCCAAAAAAATCCTGGACACCAAGGCTTGGGTGAGTGTACTTGGTGGCAACAGTCAATATGTGTTGTCATATATATCACGCCCTGGGCTGAAGGCAGGCGCTAAACCGCTGAACCACCCAAGCTGCCCTCACTCTGTAACTAATTTTTTTTTTAAGTTTTAAGAAATCTGGGCAGCCCGGGTGGCTCAGCGGTTTAGCGCTGCTTTGGCCCAGGGCGTTATCCTGGAGACCTGGGATCAAGTCCCATGTCGGGCTCCCTGTATGGAGCCTGCTTCTCTCTCTGCCTGTGTCTCTGCCTCTCTCTCTCTGTCTCTCATGAATAAATAAATAAACTCTTTTAAAAAAAAGTTTTAAGAAATCTCTATGTCTAATGTGGGGCTCAAACTCATGACCCCAGGATCAACAGTCATGTGCTTCGCTGACTGAACCAGCCAAGCACCCCAACTCTGTAACATCTTAATCAGGAGGCAGAAAAATTTTTGTGTAAAGGGTCAGACCATAAATATTTTCACCTTCGTGGGTTGTGAAGTTTCTAGTCATATTCAACTTTGTCATTGTAGTAGCTAGTATCAAATTATAAGAAATAAGTATTGGATGTGGAGAAAAAGGAACAGTCATGCATTGTTGGTAGGAATGTAAACTGGTACAACTGCTGTGGAAAAGAGTATAAAATTTATAGATAGAGGGATGTCTGGGTGGCTCAGAGGTTGAGCATCTGCCTTTGGCTCCAGTCATGATCTGGGGTCCTGGGATGGAATCCTGCATCAGGCTCCTTGCAGGGAGCCTACTTTTCCCTCAGCCTATGTCTCTGCCTTTGTCTCTCTGTGTCTTTCATGAATAAATTTTTAAAAATTTAAAAATAGAAATACCACGCAGTCCTGTAATTTCCTGAGAGAAATGAAACATTAATTTGAAGAGATGTATGAACCCCTATGTTTGTTGCAGCATTATATGTAAGAGCGAAAATATGGAAGCAACCCAAGTGTCCATCGATAGATGCATTGATAAAAAGACGATATGGTATATATACATGATGGAATATTACTCAGCCATAAAAAATAATGAAAACTTGCCATTTGCAACAACATGGATGGATCTAGAGAGTATTATACTAAGTGAAATAAGGTAGGTAAAGAAAGAAAATACCATATGATTTCACTTGTATGTGGAATCTAAAGAACAAAACAAGTAAACGAACAAGCAAAAAGAAGCATAAACAAATCCATAAATACAGAAAACAAATAGTCGCCACAGAGGAGGTGTGAGAGGGGATGGGCAATATGAGTGAAGGGGAGTGGGAAGTACAGGCTTCCAGTTATGGAATTAATAAGTCATGGGAATAAAAGGTACAGCACAGGAAATACAGTCAACAGTATTGTGATAGCATTGTATGGTGACAGATGGTGGCTGCATTTCTGGTGAGCATAGCATAATATATAGAATTGTTGAATGGCTATGTTGTACACCT